AACTTCATGGCGTGCTTCCTCTTGTGCCCATTGTAGAACATTCGCTGCCAGTACTTGGCCTGCGAATCAGTTTTGGGCGTACGGGAGGATGGGCCACCAACAACACAGGTCAAGACATACACCCAACAGTGCTGCTGTAGTTCATCGTTCTGCTAAAACTTCATCGCATGTTGCAACCTCGTGGTAAATCGCAATCAATCATATGCACGGGCAACCACACGACAGCAGTTCCACACAGATGAACATATGGTCTAGTGAGTGCGTCGTAAAACTCGAGGAACGTACAAGATGGCCTGCTGATGCTGCGTTGGATACGCGGCGGGAAAAGCAATCCGCGGGGGGAATCACGCAACTACTGTCTGCGGTATGTAGCAAAACGCCAGAATCCGTTGAGTCGGACTTCACCTTGCAATGCCACGCACGGTGCCATCGATGAATCCCCAACAGTGAGTGAGAGGACAGCCGGAGTTGAAGATTGCTTCCGCAAACTCGATCAGGTGCGGCAGCAGGTGTGCCACGACGAGGGACAGCAGATACCCCCACCTGAAGTCTAGAAAATGCAACATCCAGTTGAAGGCTTCGCAGATACACGATTCGCTCATCCCGAAAACCAAGCGCATGTCCTTCAGGTGGAATGGGAAAGCGAGCCGATACAGGAGCACGCACAGAGCCTCACGTCCGCTTACCACGAACCCACAATCAGCTCGGATGAACGCGGGGATCAACAGCAGATCCAGCATCAGCATAATAACCTGCATCACGTGACACCACACAGAAAAGCGAAGAACGATGTGCTACTTGTTATTCCAGTGCACACCTCTCCGTTGGTTTGTGGGTCCAACATAGCAGGGTGGCTTCACGCACCCAGAACGGCTAACCCCTCGCGACCCACGGGATGCTGACATACTTGTGGTGCTGTTGAACGTCATACTCACACACACAACCGGTCGCCCCGGTGGTCTACTGGGTAGCCTCGCAGCCTGCTAAGGGCCAGGTCATCGGTTCGAGTCCCGGCAGGGAGAATTTTTTTTCTCACTAAATAAATCCTGGTCTAGGATGAAAGCGACGCGCTGCAAAGCTCGTTTGTTAGTAAACCATAATCGACTTCGTAAGTCGCGAGGGAAGGGATTGCTGTACCCTTCTCGCGATAAAAATACCTCAGGCATGAACCGC